ATGCATTATTCCACCATCCTGAAAAAAGAAGCAAGTGGGAAGATTTGTATATAAGGACAATACAAGAACAGCAATATTCCAACCTATTTATAAAGATTAAACTAACTCCCTCAGCATAATTAGACTTGACAGATCCTCAATTTTTGTGTTTTCTTGTGCTGTTAACAAATAACCAAATAAGGTCATTGTTCTTCAGTGATCTTTGCATAGGAGTAAGAAAAATTCAGAAATTAAGTATTTTATAACAAAATTAAATTTTCCCTGGCTTATGTAGGAGCTTCCGGAAAAGTTTTAAAATAACATTTCGAGTGTACTGAGCACTTTCTGTGAGCCAAACATTTTGCATATGTTACCTTATTTGATCTGAGTACCTGGGACTAGAACAATTAGTCTCCTTATTTTATAAGTGAAGAAACTGAGGGCTAGAGGGGCCAAGCAACCTGTTCAGAGCCAAGTGAAAGTTTCTATGTCAATCCCGAGGCCAAGCTTTCAGCAATTACAGAAAGGATAGGAAGAAGGGAGGTTGAATTCTTGTTCTGTTAGCTCATGGATTCTTAAGGACTCCTAAAGTGAGGGGTTGGTGTGGGAGAGAACAAGGCAAAGCCATTTCCTGTGTTGTTGGTTTCAGGCCTTTCAGGGGCAACAGATCAGGAGAAGATAAATAAAGATGGATGGGGCAGGGGTGGTGGTGGTGGTAGTGGTGGCTGCTAGAAATATCTGTAGCAATTTGCAAAGTTAATTGTGGCATCTTTTCTTACCGATAGCTTGACAATAGCTAGTGCCTAAGCCATTTTGGCTTCCTATCCAACTCCCTCATGTCCCACACTCCTTTATGGAGCTTATTCTTTCTCCCATTTCCAGACCTTTTTACATTTTCTCCTACCCAGCATACTTTTCTATCCTTTTGCTTAGCCTTCAAGTCTAATTTTGAATGGTTTTTCATCATGAAGCTTTTGTTTGGTTGTTTGTTTTTGAGGGAGGGCCTCCTCACTATGTAGTTCAGGCTGACCTTGAGTTCACTACATAATCCAGGCTGCCATCCAACTCACAGTGATCCTCCTGCCTCAGCCTCCCAAGTGCTGGGATTACAGGTGTGTGCTATGCCCAGCTTCATCATGAAGCTTTTTATGCTCTCTGTGAACTAATTCAACTTAGTTTCTCCTTTGGGTTGTAAGCTCTTTAAAGTAAGAACTGTGTCTCTCATTCACCATTTTATCCCTTGTGCCTATTTTAAGACCTGACATATAGTAAGCACTTAATAAATAATTATTAAAATAAATGAATGAAGTTGTTAGAGTCACTATCACAAAACATTAGACTAGTATTCTAATACTAAATATTAGAATGATCAAGAAATGGTAATCAAACTAAATGTGACCAAGTGAAACTAAGAGGAAAAACAGTATTATTAGTCTTGCCCTTAAGGATATACCAGTATGAAATAATGCTTAGAAAGGGAAAAGAACAATCCATTTTGGAGAATCTATTGTCTATATAACACAGAGTATGTGAATTTTTTCATAATTTGTGCCAAGAAATATATTATATTATGATCTAGTACACACATACACCTAAAACAAAATGTTCACATTACATTTACCATTACTGTGTAAAGCTCACTGATATTTTCTACTTTAATCTATTCTGAACTGTTTTCTTCCATTTCATTAAAAAGGCAGATAGTGAACCTCTGAAATGATCCCATGTTTCTTTTCTGGGCCTAAAGACTTCCTTGTAGTGGTAAGGAGTATAAGTTGGATTCAGACTGTTTGACTAGATCTTCCCCTTGCAGGTGGTATGACTTCAGTCCAATCAACCACCACCATGAAGGTCTGTCTCACCCTGAAATCCATGAATGTTCCAGGAGATAACATAGAAATGACTCCTCTTTGAAAAGATGAGTGGCTGGTATAGAACCATATACTCAAACGCTGTTTCATGTGTTTGGAAGAAGGCAGGGCTTGTGATCAGCAATGCCTAGGTTGACTACTTGCCAGCTTAGAAACTGTTTGGAATTTTATTTAGTCTTCTTGAGCCCCACTTTCCTCACTTTGCTCAAGCTATTAGTAAAATAAACCATGCAGAGTTCAGTGGAGAATAATGAACTACAAATAAATATATTTTTTTGTCTGACAAAAAAGTGCTCAATAAATGGAAACTATTTTATTAGATAGACTTTCCTTGTAGGGTATGTGAGTCAAAACTTAATTTCTTATCCAGGGCTTAATTAAAATTTGGAATTTGTAGCTTTTAATAGATGCAATTTGCAGCCACATTGACAGCATGGATAGAAATGTACTGTAGAAATGGATCTGATAGGTTTTATTATTAATCATCTTGAGTAGCTTCAAATAGAGTGACTATGAGTGACATTAAGTTTGCAGGTATTGATAGCTGATAGGGTTTGTCCAGTATAATCTATTCCAGGTTACTGGAAATGTAGTTTGGTTTCTCCAGGTTAATGAAAAGTACATTTGCTTCACCTAGGATCCTTGAGAACTTTCTGTGGGACTTTTGACAAGTATTACAGAGTATCAAATGTCAGTGGGTCCAATCCAGCAGCATTGGTCATTACTATCTCATCTTGATTACCAACTCTGCTGCCTTTGCATCAAGTCTTGGGGCTAGAGATGAATGGAATACTAAAAATATCAAGTTGGATTCTGTTTGTGTCCCTTCTTGTTTCTGTCACTGTGAATTTGAAGACACAGAGAACCAAGTTTCTTGCTCCCTAGAAAACCACTCAAGGAGTTTTATGATTTAACTGGGCATGTTCTTTCAACAGCTCTGGTTACTTTGAAATCACTTGGTTTAATATTCCCCCTAGGGACTCATGGTGTGTTAGGTGGTTACTAAACCCCTGAACATCAGAGGTGGAGATAACTGAGATGCCAAAGGGCTACTCACAGGTGAAGAATGGCGATGGCAGAGTTTATGAAGTTAGAATGTGCTGCAAAGACTGTTAGCTGCCCAATCAGCCCTGGACAAACTCTATCCTGTAAGTGAATTATAAAGATGCAGAGAGAACAAACATTTTAGTCTCTTGGGGGATTAAAATACTTCTCAGACAGAAATACCAGAAGAATGGAAATTGTCAGAAAAGCAATTTTATACAGACATTTTCTTACATAGGAATATGATTCCACATATCAAAGAAACTCCTGAAAAGTTTTAGTTTTGGTATTTTCCAGTTATACAGTGAAAAATGCTTTAGTAAAACATATCCTTTCAAATAGTTTGTTTATTAATCAGTAGAAGCAACAAGCACTAATACAGGAGTCAAAGCTGAACTTGAATCCTCTTGAAATCATTTGTGTTGAGTTGGTTAAATCACCTACAACTTTTGGTCTATTTCCCTTTCATAATATTGAAATATAAGTCAGTAATAGAGTCCAGTTCATAGAAATATAAGTCAGTAATAGAGTCCAGATTATAGCCTTATTCTCAGATTATCTGGATGAGATTCTGAAAGTCTAATAGGACTGAGTTGATCTTTTTGGATTGGAGTTGCACTCCATTAGCCTTTCCTGATAACAGAAGGAGTTTTTGCACTATTGTAAAAGATCCTAATCACATCAATTAGCATGTAACTTGCCAGATAAAAGAACGAAAAATAGAATATTTTGTAAAATATATCTCTTCAAATACTGTATTCATTAATAAGCGTCTGCAAGAATTAAAGTGGAACTTTCAAGTTTCTTCTATGTTCTCTCTCTTGAAAACTCTCTTATCATTCCAAATTAAAGAAACATCTAGAATTTAGAAAGGGTTAATTGCCCATGTTTACCCAATTCATTAAAGACTTTTACCGCACTGTGATGTCTTTATGTCAATGGTCACAATGTTATTAGGAATCTTTTCTTACTTTGCCATATGCCTTCCAACTTTCACCCACATGTTTATGTTTGTGCAGACACACTATAAGATAGCAAAACCCAGTAAACGTGAGACACAGAACCTCGGCAAAATATTTGGAGGGTTTATTTCATTTCTCTCTCTCTTTCTTCCTTCCTTCCTTCCTTTCTTCCTTTCATCAGTACTGGGAATTGAACTTAGGGCCTTGCACTTACTAGGCAAGTTCTCTACCACTAAACTACAACTCTAGTCCTTGGGGGATTCCAAGGCATTTGAATCTTTATGGACACTAAGCATTATCTATTCACCAGATAAGTAATATTTCAAACATATGAGAACAGTTCTTTTTTCAAATATTTCAATACAATTATAACTATGAAAGCAAGCACACTAAATATGTAAAATATTACTGAATTAGAAGTAGCTTTCTGTCAGAATGTGCAAGTATGATTGAAAAAATATTTTGTTCATATCTTATATTTTCTTAATCAATGCATGTTGAAAGTATAAATAATATTGCTTGGAGACTGTAAAACTTGGGGTATTAAAATAAGCCTTTATGAACTTCCTGGGGTTATGGAAATGTTGTGGATCTGATTTGGGTATTGGATACCCAACTACAATTGTTTAACTGTAGTGAATTATACACTTAAGATCTGTTATGTTGTTAGGCTCTTATGAATTTTACCCTTAATTTTAAAAACTATGATCTCAGGTACTTGGAAAGTTGACAGCTGGAATATACAGCAACTTCTCAAGTCCTAGTTAGCCTGCTTCTTATGCTTAATATTTATCCTCCAGGAGCGAAACTACTAAAAATCAGCAACAATAGGTGAGATTGGCTACCTGTGAGTGTAAACCAAGACATTTTCTAAAAATGTGTTTCAGGAAATTAAAACAGCTGTAAAGTCAACTATAGTGATCAAGTCGTAGATTATGAAGGCAGAAAGAGAAGGTGATTGCAATTTAGGAAATGGAATCTGAATGAAAAGAAAGAATAAAAAATTGATTAGGTTCTGTGAAGAGAAGAGGATTAAGCAATCTGAGGCCTAAAGAGGAAGTCTGATGATTATGTAACATTGTCCAGAGAAGAAGTGTGCTGAATTAGTAGATTCAAATTCATTTGTGTTCTCTGGGGCAGCAATGTGGGTCATAAGACTTGATCCAGAGAAAATAACTCCAATCCTTTCTCTGTTCTAACTTCCAACTTGAAGTAACTTTTGGTTTGCTGATTTGGATTTTCCGGTCATCTTACTCTGAACAGTAGATACGGTAGGTGCAAGATGCTAATAGTATTTTAGAAAAATGACTATCAAATTAGTATTCTTTTATACATCAGTATCTTTTTAATTGGGTTAGTGAAGTTTAGTTCTTTAAGTCTGGTTATTTCCAAGACCTCAGTTTTAAGTTAATGGCCCTGCAAGACTGTGAAGACTTCTAATTAGTCAACAATTTTTGGTTTTCACATAACAGAAATACAATTCAAATTTACTTAAGCTAAAGTAGGAGTTTATTTGCTTGTTTATTTTAAATGTTCAGAGTGGCACAGCCTTCAGGTGAGTATGAGCCAGGGAAATTGAGTAATTCAATTAAGATTATTTCATTCTCTATCATTATAGACAGCTAAGTTAAACAGAAATTAATATATAGTCAGAGAGGGTTTGGGCCCTCAAGAAAGTCAGCACAAAAAATAAAGACTTCAGAATTGTGGCGGGAGGCAAATATGAAGAGCACCAGGCCTCAGGACAGAGAAGCAGTATCAAGGCCTCCATGTCTGCTTAGAGATAAACAGTAACTTGAAACTATACTGTCATGATCTGACTTCTACTTGTTTTGTTAAACAAATTTCTATCTATGTTCATACTTTTTTCTTCTATTATCTTTATCCAGCTTTAGGATTAGCACAATGTTGATTTCCTAAAGTGGGGGGAGAAGTGTTCCTTCTCTTTTGCTTTAAATGTTTGATATAATTTATCAGTTACAATGTATATGAGCCTGTTGTTGTCATATAGGTAGGTTTTCAAGCTAGGAATATACTTTCTTTAATAGGTGCTATTCAAATGTTATATTTCCTCCAGAGTTAGCTTCATTAATTTTTCTTCCAAGGTACTTCTTAGAAATTGTCAAATTCATTTCAAAAAAGATTTTTGTAATATGCTTCTATATCCTTTTAAATTCTGTAAAATTTGTGGTAATGTCTTCTAGATCTTGATATTGTAATTTTAAAAATGTATAATTGATATTGTGTAATAGAAACAAAAGGTCTAAAGGAGCAGGGGAAGTGGGAGGGGTAGGGGAAAGTAAAGAAGGGAAAGAAAAAAATATGAGAAAAGGAAAAAAATGGAGACAAAGTCTTTGCAAATAGGGAAGGGTGGAGGGGGTGAAGGGAGGGCAGGGGAAGGGGGAACAAAATAAGAACTAAAATACTCACGTAATGGTGCAAGATCCCAATGATGAATGTAACTGTGTTTTATACCTAAAATGTACCAATAAACTTAATGGGACAAAAAAAGAAACTATACTGTCATTAGCAGCACCTGGTCCAGTGGGCCCAGATCGATATCAGACACATACAGATAGGTAGGTGACCAAAATATCTGGACCCATACTTCCCTCCCTTTCCAAAAATGCTTTTGTTCTTTCCATATACCCTTGCCATGTTATTTATTTCTCTATTGGATCAATATTAGCTAAGTGGCTACACTTGTAATCCTATAGGATGATTATAGTTTGACCCATGTTATACCCATGTTGTGATTTTGCTGTATAAATTACCCCTGACAAAGGGCCTCACTTGTCACCCACTCAGGATCCTTCCCAGAAATCCAGGAAGTATTCTCCTTTTTTTATTTCCAACAAAACTCTCCTAACTTCCTCCTTTGGTTCCTGACTTCATTCTTTGATGTCGTGAAACCATGAACTCTTCACATCTAATATCTAACAAACAAGAGCGCATGCGAGCAGGAAAATATATTGAAATCCAAGTAATAATTTTTGGAAGCATGATCTTTTATTTTGGATATTCTAACTCCTTTCTCTAGCTCATTGAGATTAACTGAAGGCTTTTCTGGCGGGGGGGGTGGTCATGGTAAACAAGCAAACCAACAAAGACTGCTTCGAGACAATGGATCATCTACCTGTTCTTTCCTTCTGCAACTATATAGTAATCATCCACTGTGCATTCAAAACTGGTCCTAAAAGTAGATAATACTAAAAATTTATGTGAACCAGAAATAAGTAGAGACAGGAGTGATTTTGGAGATCATTTTGTCAATATCCAACATGATATATTCATGGTTAGAGGTCAGGAATAGAGCAGGCTGGAAAAACCCAGCAAATATTTAATAAGCACCTGGTACATGAGCTATTGAGTAAAGGGACAGAAATACGCTGTGGTTATTGGAAATACAAGTTGCTCGACATATATGATGAGTATCTGTATTGATTTTGTATTGCTTCTATAACAAATTGCCACAGATTTAGTGGTTTAAAACACCATAAATTAATTTTCTTATAGTTCTGGAGGCAAAAAGTGTGAAATGAATCTCACAGGGCTCAAAATTGGGGTGTCAGCAAGGATTAATTTCTTTTTGGAGGATTTAGGAAAGAATCTATTCTCTTGCCTTTTCTAGTTTCTGGAGACTGTCCACATTTCTTGGTTGATAAAGCCCATGTTGTCAAAGCCAGCAATAGAGCTCTCTCTCCTTCCTCCTTCATCCATTTCTAAGGACCCTTTTGATTAAACTGGGCCCACCTATGTAATCCATGATAATTTCCCCCCCTATGAAAGTCAGATGATTAATGTGATAGTTAATTGTGGTGTCAACTTGAATAAAAAATACCTAGTGGATTAGTTTAGCACAATTCTGGGTGTGTCTGAATAAACTGATTTACTGAAGAGGGAAGACCCACTCTGGATGTGAGTGGTACCTACCAATAGGCTTATAGTTTGGATGGAATAAAAAGAAGAAGTCTTGCTTTTGCTATTCTGGAGGAGACCCAGTCTTTGCCATTGCCTTGGGATGTTAGTCTCAGGCTTCCAGCGCAGACTCTTCAAGCTTACAACACAGACCCTTTGGCTTCATGACATGGACATGCAGAGAATTCTGCTTTCGCAGTCCCTTGACCCTTGGCTCGATTCTCCCTTTCTCCAGATAGCAGATAGCATATATTCTGTTTCTCTAGGCTAACAGTTAACAATCTTAAGGTTGTCTGCAATCTTAACTTCCCTTTGTCATGTAACTTAATGTATTCACAGTGCTCAGTAGTACATGCTCATCTTTAGAGGGCTATTCTGCCTACTGCAGCACATAAGCTGAATTTGGAGAATCATATAAAGCTCATTGGTAGAACTGATGCCTATGACAAGATTTTAGAAATGAAGAGGAGTTGCCCACTTCTGGAGAAAAAAAGACATTTATGGGCAGAGTGCAGCAGCTGTGGGTGTTCCATTTGGATACCTGGATAGCTCTTTGGTGTTTGGGTAAAACTAGTGAGTTAGCTTCGTGTCCACCTGCAGGGCTTGCAGGATCTGCCTCAGATTTTAAGTCAGACTATGATTTTTTTTTTCAGGTAGCCTAATTAATGACTAGGCCCAGCAGAGTACTTGGGTCTGAACATTTATGTTCAACAGGGGACTTTAATAGGCAATCTGCTCTGAAGGCTCCCCATGATGCTGACCAAGACTTTGTCAGACCTAAGGCTCTTTCCTGAATCTTGTGTTCCTTCACAGTTGTCAGATCTGCATCATAGTCTGAGAGCTTCCTCTGTTCTTCCTCCTCCTTTATCATTTACAAGTGTTGCCCTATAAAACCACTTATACTCTTAACTATATCTCGGTTTTGGAAGACCCAACTAAGAAAAAGAGGGGCCAAAGTATCCAAGGCTCAAACATGAGAAAGAGCAAGATAACCTGAAAGTAGCTATAGTAAGAGCACAAGATTCATGGACAGACCTAGGCGTGGTCCACCTATGAATACCTACTGGAGGTTGCCTTAGTCACTACAGCCTGACTGCTGTAATGAAAGCCCTACATTTCAGTGCCTTAAACAGTAAATACTCTTTTATTCTGTCAGTTTGATAGTCTGTATTGGTGTCCATGGTCTGGTGCCTCTCCTAAGGATTCTCCAACAAGCAGCTACTGTAGAACCCAGATTCCTTCAGTCTTATTACTCAGAACCTTCTAGGATCTTGAGTGTTCTCTCTGTCATGAACAGCTGAGAAAACAGACTGGGAGGATCACATATTGGAAAGTTTTGTGGATGAGGCCAGAAAGTGCTGCATTTCATATTTTTGGCAAGTAGCTCTGTCAATCTATATGTCTGGAGTGCATGGAGAAGACTCCAGGGAGAAGGACTCAAGCCAGCTCTGATGAAGGGAGATTGGTATGAGTATTGAACAATATACTTAGCATCTCTTAGGTAGAGAACAAGTATTTGCTGAATGAATGAATTTGGAGGCAGACAGACTTAGGCTTAATTCCAACTCTATTATTGGCCTTGAGTAGCTTACTTAGCTCTAAGCTTACTTTTCATTTGTGAAGTGCGTATAACAATGTTTGTGGCATTAAATTGCTATGAAGTTCCTATAGCCTTAAATATAATAACTATAACTAACATCTGTGAGTGCTATGCATGTATACATGATTTATAGTTATCATTTCATTTGATTTTCTTCAAAACCTTGGGTAGTATTGTTGATTTATGGATAAGGAATTGAAGCATGGAGACATCAAGGGTCCTGCTCTAAATCACACAGTTAATAGTTGGTGGAACTAAATTTACCCTGCCTTCAAAGTCAGTTTTCTTTTCCACAATACTGTACACTTTTTGTAGTAAGTTATGATCCAGTTATGTTGTGTGGCACAGAGTCAATAAATATAGGGCAGTATTAGCAGCAATAGGTTTAGGAACAGGTGATGAGCAATGATCCCGACCAAAAGGACAGGAGCTGTTGTTAGGAAGGTTTGAAACAAAATCTTAGGTGTGGGGTGGCATTCTAGTAGTTCCAGGAGAAAATGATAGAAACAAAAGTGAGCCTCCATCCTGGCAAAACTTTGGTGCTGTACAGATTATAGGCACAAAGATGGCACAGGTGACCAAATAGGAGCTGAAGTCTTGGAATTTGACAAGAGTTGGAAATTAACTCAGCATGGATACAGTCTGGGAGATTCTCAATTCAGACATGTGTCAGGAGACCCAGAGAAGGGGGAGTGATGAAAAAGGGGTGGGGGAGATTGGCCTAGACATCACATCAGGCAAGTCACCCCAGCC